TCAAGAAGTGAGGTTTTTACTCACAAAAGCTTATGCCCAAATAAATCTGTTAGTCTTTAAGGTGCCACCAGACTCCTTGTTGTTTTTGTTATGATTATAGTAACTTAAAGTTTAACCATAATTTTTATTTCCTGGGTTCGTAATGTTTGTTTTGGGGATAATTACAACATCCCTGGAATGGTTTACCCGTATAGTATTGATATGTATTCCAGTCTTCACTCTAGTTTAACGTAGTTGTGATCTGGGTGTACAGATGAGTCTGTGGCAGAACCAAGACTGTAAGGCCTCCCTGATGTGCTGTGGATGGAAGTGGCCAGTCACCCTAACCAAGAGATTGTAAATGTGTTATGACCTCTACCTTTTCTGTTCCAATTCTGGTTTTCACCCAGCCAGGGTGGATAGAAGTGCACAGAATCCCATAGTCTTTGTACTCCAAGGACTGGCACCTGGTGATCATGTTCAGAGCAGCCTGTGGGTGGGACACACGGTGAGCAGAGATAAGAGCACAGGACAGAGGGCCGTCTTCCCTACAGGACATGACCCCCGATCCCACAGTACTGATATGCAAGGGTGGAGGGGGAGTCATCTGGGCTGACAGGGGAGGAGATAAATAGCACTGGGCAGTATATGAGGAGCTTCATACATAAGCAGTACTGCTGAACTAGAGGGCAGCTCCCACTTCACTCAGTGGACAAACCCAGCTCAGCAGCTTGGGGCGACAGATAAGGTTGCCAACTCTCACTGAAGCTATTCTGGGAGATTTCCCCTTCCCCCCCCACATAACATGATGTCATTTTCTTAAAATATCCCATTAAAATCTCCTGGATTGCTTTCAATAGTCACTGGAAGATCGATGCTGATTCTGGGAGACTCCCAGGCCCATTCTGGAGGGTTGGCAACTCCAGCAACAGATCAAAAGAAAACTGCCCACCTCACAATAAATCTTCAATCTTTGCTGCCCCTGCGTAAAGGGTACAAGGCTGTGAGATACCAAATCCCAGAAATCTCTGGTTTTATCCTTTTATAGGCTGGAATGCTGAGCCAAGCAGAAACCAGGAGACCCAATCCTGATAAAACGAAAGGAGGAAAATCCTTGGCCAAGCCCAGCTGTTGGCATTGGCTGTAGCTGCACCTTGAGATTCTACACAGCTGAGACTCATCCAGGGTTCAGTACACAAGGAACAGATGGCACCAGCAGCTGGTTCCAAACCCAGCTGAATTCCTGTGACCCTTGTAGCAATAACATTCCTGGCAGTCTCAGAGTGGGGAGAGGATCCCACTGAACACAACCCTCCTCACTGCCCAATGGCGACCAAAGCTGGATGAGCTTGGAAGCTGGTAATACGTCCGGATCTCTGATTTGTTGTTAAACAGTAATTCTGGCTAAAGGTTGACTATGAAGGGGGAGATGCAGGGACACATGCACTGTTTCCTTAAATCTGTAGCAAGAAGCCGGGTAGAAGGGGGCTAATGGGGCAGGAGCTCTGCAGGGAAGCTGGCGGGGGAGACCGAGGTGTTTAGAAGGAACAGCAGAGGAGGCACGTGTGTTGATACAAGGTAGGGGCTAGTTATGCTGGAAGGGAGTGAGAGGGGTCCCATATGGTACCTTGCTGCAGCGGTAGCTGGGTATTTGCTCGAATTCCCACACTGGAACTACTTCTATGGAACCAGCGATGCTGGACATGTTGACAATGGCGGCCTTGCTGCAGCTCAGCCCTGTCTGGGTACTCTGCTGGGCAGCTTTCTTCAGCAACAGCAGGAACTCCTGAGGGAGATACCGATGACTGTGTTATAACAGGGGTGACACCGCTGTTCCAGGGAAGGACCCTATCAGTGATGTTAAGGTCAGGGAGAGGGAGGCTCTGAAGATGGAGTTTGTGATTCAGGCAGCTTGGTGCATCCCATAGTTCTTGGGCATACGATGACTGGGAAACCCTTCTATGGGTCAGAGTGTGCTCTCCCTGAAGGGAGCCTGCTCTGCTCCTTCCGAGAGGTGAGTCCTGCTGCAGGCATTAACCCTGCACAATCCTTGTACTCCTAGAACACATGGTCTGGGCCTGTGCACAGCCTCCGGGTAGGAGCATTTTTTAATATGGAGATATACCTATCTCATAGAACTGGAAGGGACCTTGAAAGGTCATCGAGTTCAGTTCCCTGCCTTCACAGCAGGACCAAGTACCATCCCTGACAGATTTTTGCCCCAGATCCCTAAATGGCCCCCTCAAGGATTGAACTCACAAGCCTGGGTTTAGCAGGCCAATGCTCAAACCACATGGGGAAGGAGCTCCTTGGCAGGGCACAATCTGGCCCTCACCCTTATGGCTGCATGGCCCTCTGGTACAGCCTTTGAACCAGAAGAGAACATGTGATTATACTGACTGAAGCACCAGAGGATAACAACCTACTACTGCGACCAGCTAGTGGAGTTATTTCATTAGCCAAGTGGTAGAAGACTGTGCTTTGGTGCTCAAGGTTCAAATCCTGCTGGAGGCCAGTGTTAGGTGACGTTAGAGAGTCTCTCTTGAGTTTGAAAATGCAGGTCACCTTGTTTTTGAAAAATGAGTCAAAAATTTGCCCGAGCCAAGAGTCTCAGCTCGTTCCAGGGCAGTCTTTGCTCAGTGTCACAGGAGTTTCTTGGCTGTCAGGTGTGTTCTTACCTGGCTCACCAGCAGGGGCCCAACTGTGTTAGTTAGATATATAGTTTCCATGGTCTCAACGTTCTCATTCTCCATGGTGGTCACCCGTAGTATGCCAGCGTTGTTTATCAGGAGATTCAGTCCATGTCCTTGCACATGCTCCTCCACTCTCTGCACAGCTGCCTTTATGCTGTTTGGATCTGTGACATCTACAGACAGCACAGGGGATTCAGAAAAATCCTTCCTATAGCAGCTCTGCCCTATCAGCTCTACCAGCCCATTTAGCTGTTGACCCTGTCTTCGGTTGGCGAATGAAAGCAGCCTCGCTAACTCGCTTGCATCTCCCTCAAGCCCATCTGGGAACTCTCCTACGCTGCCTCTGATTCCAGGGGCAGGAGGAAATCCCTTGAAATTTGTAAAAAAAAAAAATATGCTTAATCTCTTTGAACTGAATCCAGGAGAGCACCTTCCCTCTTATCCCGTGGAAGCTTACTTTATGTAAGAACCTTTGGTGAGGGACCTTGTCAAAGGCTTTCTGAAAATCTAAGTACACTATATCCACTGGATCCCCTTGGTCCACATGCTTGTTGACCCCCTCAAAGTATTCTAGTAGATTGGTGAGGCATGATTTCCCTTTACTAAAACCATGTTGATTCTTCCTCAACAAATTATGTTCATCTATATGTCTGACAATATTGTTCTTTATTATAGTTTCAACCAGTTTGCCTGGTCATCGCAAACCCAGCTCTCTATGTTTCTAATGATCAAATCACCCATTACTAATACCTGTCTCTTTCTAATACCTGGAGTTCCCTCCCTCGGAGAGGTATCCTCAGTGTGAGAGGATACCACAACATCATCTGGAAGGAGGATCCCAACTATGGGATTGTTTCCCTCTGCTCCAGTTGGATGTTCTCCTTCCCTGGGACTTTCATCCTCCTCCATAGCACAGAGGCTGCCAGACCAGCATCATCATCATGTTTTTTCTGGATCCAAATAGAAACCCACAGCTTTCAAGCTAATGTGGCATTTATTTTAGATCCTGGAAACCCATAAGAAAGAATCAAAGTTCCCATGAGAGAGCACAAGCTGCTGAACCTCTGAGAACAAAACAGCTGCTGGCTCTGCATGCAGGGAGAGATTATTGGAATTTGCGGGCTAGGAAACTGCAAACAATGTGCAGCAGTTGCACAGGGACACATGCCACAGGTGCCATGGGGGCATTGCAAGATTTGGTAGGAGATGAAATATCAGTCCCTTGGGCACTCTTAATGGAGACTTAGTGGATAAGGCATAGAACCCGCACTGGGTTTGTACCTTCAGCACTAAAATCATGGGTATCTTCCACTTGAGTTAAGAGTGACTCTATTAGCGGTCAGCCATTACAGCGGGGCAGAGTGGGTGTGACATGCTCCACTCTGAACTGTTAGTGCTTCACAACCACGCACAAGTGTGGCACCACATTGTGCCATCCATGGAGAATTGGGCCCCTCATCTTCCTCCCAAGCCCACCCCTGTCTGAATGAATAGATGCAGTGATGGCTACATACCCAGCTGCAGCACTACCAGGTTTGGATGCTTCAATGCCAGCTCCATTACCTCCTGGAAAGAGAAACATTTTCACTTGGTTAGAAAAATCCTGGAAGACGATCAGTGTGTAGGCTGGCTCTGACCTCAGCTGTGCAGTACCTGGGATTGGGTGAAACCTTCAAGGAAGGTGCTGGTGACTGAGCAGGGAGCAGCCAACTCCCGGAACTCCCCTGTCCCACAACAAGTGGCATGTGGGTGAGTGAACCAGATACCTCAGAGAGGCTCCTCTGCAGCCTTGTGCAGTGGGGATGGGGTGTCACAAGAGACCCGGTTACAAAATTTCACCACATAAGAACATAAGAATGGCCACATCTAGCCAAAGGTCCATCTAGCCCAGTGTCCTGTCTTCCGACAGTGGCAAATGCCAGGTGCTCCAGAGGGAATGAACAGAACAGGTAATCATCAAGTGATCCATCCCCTGTCTCCCATTCTCAGCCTCTGGCAAACAAATGTAGAAATGTAGGGGGCCTGGGTGATTTTTCTGTCCTGTCTCTGACTGAGTCATCCCTCTCTAGATACCTTTAGGGTATGGGGTTTATCACAGGCCACAGTGGAACATTTTATAACAAGCCCCTTGTTAAAATATTGGTAGCATCTTGCCTCTCTATTCCTGAGCTGAGACTCAAACTAGTGTTAGAGTTTTACAGTGAGCTCTGGGTTTCTCATTTGAGCCTCTCAAATGCTTTTAAAGGGAACCCGCTCCTTATCTTATCCCATCGTTGCAGCCTGTACTGCAGGGAAACCCAATTCTCAGGCTGTTTCTGGGCCATCAGTTGCCCAAACCTTCCTGTAAAGACCAGATTTCATCCTCACCTTGCTTTGGGATCCATCCGGCTCCCTGGTGGTGGCAAAGATCCATTCTGGTGGATTTGGTAGCTCTAGAAATTGCTTCACGAGTCCCAGGCCGATTCCTCGATTGGATCCAGTCACCAGAACGCTTCCGACATTGAACTCTGCCATCGTCACTGAGCTGCAGCTTCCAGCCACCTGCTCTCCCTCTGCAGCTCAGCCTAAATAATGATGCTTGGGCTCCTCCTAACACCAGTGTTGGATCTAGAGTCAAGCCTCTTGATTAAAAGTTATGTAGTGTTGGCAGTTCAGGGATTTGAATAACTCCACCCTTACTCAGACACCTTGATTACAAAAGCAAAACCAATTAAACAATACTAGGTATGATTGGTTCGGTCACAGAGATCCCTTTGAGACTGACACCTGATGTGCTGAAATGACCTCTGAGCCCATTTCCCCTGCCAGCTTGGGACTCCAGAACCCTGCCTTGTTGTGCTGCAGCACAGGCCCAGGGTCTGGGCCATGCCCCCAAAGCTGCAGACTTTAACTAAAAACAGCTCAGCAGGTTAGATGTCTAGACACCAGCACCCAGACACCCAGCTCCTAATGGGATCCAAACCCCAAATAAATCAGTTTTACTCTGTATAAAGCTTATGCAGGGCAAATTCATAAATTGTTCACCCTCTGTATCACTGATAGAGAGATATGCACAGCTGTTTGCTCCCCTAGGTATTAATCACTTACTCTGGGTTTATCAATAAATTAGACAAAGGTTTCTAACCATTAGAGGAGTGAAGTTCTAGAACAGCCTTCCAAGGGGAGCAGTAGAGGCAAAAGACCTATCTGGCTTCAAGACTAAGCTTGATAAGTTTATGGAAGGGATGGTATGATGGGATAGTCTAATTTTGGCAATTAATTGATCTTTGATTATTAGCAGGTAAATATGCCCAATGGTCTGTGATGGGATGTTAGCTGGGGTGGGATCTGAGTTACTACAGAGAATTCTTTCCTGGGTGCTGGCTGGTGAGTCTTGCCCACATGTTCAGGGTTTAACTGATCGCCATATTTGGGGTTGGGAAGGAATTTTCCTACAGGGCAGATTGGCAGAGGCCCTGGAGGTTTTTCGGTTTCCTCTGCAGCGTGGGCCTCAGGTCACTTGCAGGAGGATTCTCTGCACCTTGAGGTCTTTAAACCACGATTTGAGGACTTCAGTAACTCAGGCATAGATTGGGAGTTTGTTACAGGAGTGGGTGGGTGAGATTCTGTGGCCTGCGTTGTGCAGGAGGTCAGACTAGATGATCATAATGGTCCTTTCTGACCTTAAAGTCTATGAATCTATGAGTAATAAACAAAAGTGATTTTATTAAGTATAAAAGTAGGATTTAAGAGGTTTCTAGTAATAACAGCCAGACCAAAGTAAGTCACAAAACAGAATAAAACAAAACATGCCAGTCTAAGCCTAATACATTAAGAAACTGATCACAGGTAAAAAGCAACAAAGAGTCCTGTGGCACCTTATAGAAGTATTGGAGCATAAGCTTTTGAGGGTGAATACCCACTTCGTCAGACACATGTAATGGAAATTTCCAGAGGCAGGTATAAATATGCTGGCAAGAATCAGTCTGGAGATAACGAGATTAGTTCAATCGGAGAGGGAGAGGTCCTCTGCTAGCAGTTGAGGTGCAGACACCGAGGGAGGAGAAACTACTTTTGTAGTTGGCCAGCCATTCACAGTCTTTGTTTAATCCTAATCTGATGGTGTCAAATTTGCAAATGAACTGAAGCTCAGCAGTTTCTCTTTGGAGTCTGGTACTGAAGTTTTTTTGCTGTAAGATGACTACATTTACATCTGCTATTGTGTGTCCAGGGAGGTTGAAGTGTTCTCCTACAGGTTTTTGAATATTGCCATTCCTAATATCTGACTTGTGTCCATTTATCCTTTTATGTAGGGACTGTCCAGTTTGGCCAATGTACATTGCAGAGGGGCATTGCTGGCACACGGTGGCATATATAACATTGGTGGATGTGCAGGTGAATGAACCAGTGATGTTGTAGCTGATCTGGTTAGGTCCTGTGATGGTGTTGCTGGTGTAGATATGTGGGCAGAGTTGGCATTGAGGTTTGTTCCATGGATTGGTTCCTGAGTTAGAGTTGTTATGGAGTTCTGTTGGTTTCTTTCTTGGGCTTGTCTTGCAGCAGCAGGCTTCTGGGTACACGTCTGGCTCTGTTGATTTGTTTCCTTATTTCCTTGTGCAGGTATCGTAGTTTTGAGAATTCTTGGTGAAGATCTTGTAGGTGTTGGTTTCTGTCTAAGGGCTTGAAGCAAATGCGGTTGTACCTCAGCGCTTGGCTGTAGATGATGGATCGTGTGGTGTGTCCGGGGTGGTAGCTGGAGGCATGAAGGTAGGCATAGTGGTCGGTGGGTTTTCGGTATAGGGTGATGTTAACGTGACTGTCACTTATTTGTACTGTGGTGTCTAGGAAGTGGACCTCTTGTGTAGATTGGTCAAGGGGTGGAAGCTGTTGAAATTGTGGTGGAATTCTTCCAGAGTCTCCTTCCCATGGGTTCAGATGATGAAGATGTCATCAATGTAGCGTAGGTAGAGAAGGGGAGTGAGTGAATAAGAGCTAAGGAAGTGTTGTTCCATGTCAGCCATAAAAATGTTGGCATATTGTGGGGCCATGTGAGTGCCCATAGCGGTGCCACTGGTCTGGAGGTATATATTGTCACCAAATTTGAAATAATTGTGCGTGAGGATAAAGTCACAGAGCTCAGCAACCAGTTGTGCTGTGACATCATCAGGGATACTGTTCCTGACAGCTTGTATTCCATCTGTGTGTGGATGTTTGTGTAGAGAGCCTCCACATCCATGGTGGCTAGGATA